TGAGAGGGGATCTCATCAACACCTACAAATATCTTAAGGGTGGGTGTCACGAGGACGGAGCCAGACTCTTCCCAGTGGTGCCCAGCACCAGGACAAGGGGCCATGGGCACAACCTGAAGCAGAAGAGGTTCCAGTTGAACGTGAGGAAGAACTTCTTGACTTGGAGGGTGCCTGAGCCCTGGCCCAGGCTGGCCAGGGGGGCTGTGGAGTCTCCTTCTCTGGAGATATTCAACCCCTGCCTGGACGCTGTCCTGTACCCCCTGCTCTGGGTGAGCCTGCTTGAGCAGGAGGGTGGGACTGGGCAATCTCCCAAGGGCCCTTCCAACCCCGGCCATCCTGGGATTCTGTGTGATTTTGTGAAGCACGGGAGAAGGAGCACCTACAAGAGGTCCCAATCTACGGGAGGGAGGCCCACGAGTGGCTCTCACCTTCACTGAGTCCTGCTCCTCATCCGACTGCTCGTAGAGATCCTCTCCCAAGAAATTCCAGGGCGATTTGGTGCTCTGGGCAGCGTAGAGCTGCCAACGCCAGAGGGAGAGCGGGCAGAAGGAGAGGCGGAAGGGCAGGCGCTGCAGAGTCTCATTGATGGGGAAATAATCCTTCTGCAGGTTCCAGTAATCGTTGAAGTAGAGGATGGGGTAGTAGTCACCGCTGATGGCGTCAAACTTCACATCTGGAGCCAGGGAAAAGAGCAGAGGGGGGGGCGCTGAGCAGGCAACGGGGAGCTGCGAGAGCCATCGTCACCCTCATCCCGCTCGGCGGCCAGTTCAGAGAGACCAAGAGGCCACTGAACCCCGGCCCAGCCCGAGCTCCGAACGGAGAAACAAGCCGCTCCCCCCAGCCCCGTTCCCCCCAGGAGCCCAAACACATCCTCCAAGGAGAGGGGGCCAGCCCCCCAAAGCCGCCCTCGGAGAGCCCCGGTGCATCCCAGTCCTCACACTGGTCCAGGGGGGGCGGGACGCTGCCCTTCACCCAGGGTGTGTGGTCGTCCACCATGTTGATGGTCAAGTTGGGGTGCCAGTGCGAGATGACCTCCACGGGACCGTAGTCTTCCGCCCTCTGCAGTGAGAAGATCACCGCCTCCGTCACCGGCGGCCCTCCGGCTTGCCCAGCGATAGCCCACCCCCCTCTCCTGAAACAAGGCAGCGGAGCGGGAAGGGGCAGAGCCAACTTTCCCATCCCAGAAACGCTACACGGAAATCCTCCTCCTCCCAGAGGAAGCAGGGAGGTGGAATCCTTCGCGGCGCTTCCCGACAGCTTTGCAACCGGAGGAAGGCGCGTGAATATCGAGGAGTTTGGCCAACAGGGGGGCAAAAAAACCAAAAAACCAACAACACCACACCAACCCAAACCACCCCAAAAGGAAGGGCCAGTTGTTACCTTGATCATTTCGGGGTCTGCTTCCGTCTCACCCGTCAGGAGGTTCTTGGTTTTCTGGAACCGCCGGCGCTTGTATTTGTTGATCACTGGAAGGAAAGAGGTTTTCCAGCTCCACGCGAGGT